AGCCAAATAAATCTATCGAAAAATATTAAATATATAAAATTTAATAAAACGCTTTAATAATTACAAAGACAGACGTTTCGACACCGATCGGGCCATTATCAATGTTATAATTAATAAAGTTAACATAAAAAATGAACGCATTCTTCTTCCATTAAAAATTGATCCTAATAAAAATTATTTACGAATTAATAAAATTATAACCAAAAAATTAATACTAAAAAACAATTACTTTAAATATTAATCTTCATATAAATCGGTATAGAATGAATCATATGTTGAAATAAGTATAAATTGATCCTAATAGAAATTATATAAATTAATGAAATTAACAGCAATAAAGATTAATTAATAAAAACAAAAACTCTATTACCTTATCAAAAATACAAAAGAAGCAACAAGTCCATAATTAAAATTCATCGAAGTCAATTAATATAAAATATATTTGAAAACTGTAAGTCATTTTGCGGTATCTTATCACTATGATGACTAATAATAATACTGATTTTTTTAAATAAATAAAATAATAATAAACTAAATGTTTTTATTTTCTCTATAAAAATTGTTTTATTATTTTACTCTTTTAACTGACAGAGTGAAAGGATGGGCGTACAAACTGGGCTTCGAGCTGTCACAATTGGGCAAATTTGTGACGAAGGTGGAGAAGTTCGAAGACAGTTACAAGACAGCGGATACCTCGCCACGTGACGGAAACTTTCTCGTCCATGAGATTGCTAAGGACATCAAGACTATGATGGAGTCCAAGATCTCGGCTATCAGAGTACGATTCTTTTATTTCATCTCATTTACGCTGAAATTCTTAATATAACACTGAATAGACTTCTTTATTATTATCAAACTTATTGTTTGATTCAAAACGTAGTTGCAAAATATAGTCATTTGTGCATATTAGGCAACTTTGTGTTTTTGTTTTCAGAGGATAATGGACGTGGCTGAAATGTCAGCGTTATCATCACCCGACGTGGACCCACCGAAATCCTTTGAATTTATCAACGCGAAGAATAATAGTATTAGCCTTGAGTACAGTCCTCACTTCGGTGGTGATGTAAACCTCAATATGTCAGCAGTACACGTACCCACGAATGTGTATGAGCGTGCTTCGAATGTCATCCGAGCGATTAAGTGGTCCGAGGAACTCGATCGTACTTTCATCAACAATTATGAGCACGATCCATCATTATCTTGGCAATATTTTGGCAGCGCGACTGGTTTCATGCGTCAATATCCTGCCACGAATTGGATCGTAGAGAAGACGGTGGATCTGTTTGACTGCAGAACAAGGAGCTGGTACATTGAAGCAGCCACCAGTCCAAAAGATATTCTTATTCTGATGGACACGTCCGGTAGCATGACTGGTATACGACGGGAGATTGCTAAGCACGTTATAAATAACATACTTGATACCCTTGGTAACAATGACTTCGTTAATATCATTACATTCTCTAACGAAACTAAAGAGGTAAGAATCAATTGAAAGAATTGAATTTATCTAAGTCTAAATGAACGAAAAAAATATGAATTAAATTAGTAGAATGATATTAATTGATATTGATTGATGAATTTGCAGGTTGTATCATGCTTTGATGGCACCCTGGTTCAAGCAAATCTGGCGAATGTACGCGAGCTGAAGAGAGCCATTTCAAATCTCAATACAGAGAGGATCGCCAACTTCTCTTTAGCCTTGACGACTGCTTTTGAGTTACTCGAAACATTTCGCAATGAGCGAGAAGGTGCAAGATGTAATCAGGCAATCATGCTAATCACTGATGGTGTACCGTATAACTACAAGGAGATTTTTGAGGCATACAATTGGAAGGACAATCCAGACGAGCCGTTGAAGGCCGATATGCCCGTCAGAATATTTACTTATCTAATCGGTCGAGAGGTTGCAGATGTGCGAGAAGTGCAATGGATGGCTTGTGCTAACAGAGGATACTATGTACATCTGTGTACACCGGCGGAAGTCAGAGAAGAGGTCAGTGGATTAAAATTGCTTTCAAATTTGAAAACTATAAAAAACGATCTTAGTTTCTAAAAAATTAATATTTGATAAAAACAATTGGAAAAAAATACTATTAAAACTGAAATAGAAAATTGTAATGCTAAATTTATAAATTATAGAAATTCTAGCAAGAAAGCTTATTATGGGTGAAAAGTCTTTCCAAGGTACTCGAGTGAATAAAATAGTTTTATTATAATATAAAATCTGTTTTGTTTTATTATAACGGTTTAGATCAGATTATTTACGAAGTTTTGCGAATTTGTTAGGTGTT